TGAATTACTTGCGGTACTCTTCATTGAGCTTATTGTACCAATACCTTATATTCCCCCATCATTTGTATACCGGTCATATAAGTTTACTGAGTATTGAGTAGAGTAGGCGAATATTTCCCCTTCACATGTTCGTTATCTCTACCAGTTTTTCGGGGATTAATGTACTTTCTTACCTGATTTATTTATGTTCTGCTTGTTTATTTCAGTGTTGTTTGTTGGACCGATTGTTTTCTCAGCTGAAAATCATGACAACTTAGTACACTACACTCCTGTGTGTAGCTCTGTACTGTATCACTCATGCATCAAGTGGTGTAGAATAACTAGCAGTGGGTAGAAGGGATGTCATACTTTCTTTTCAGGTGATCGGGATAAACTGTTGCTTTCATCGCGCGATTACATCACCCAGAAGACCGTCATGAAGTAATCATAAGCTAGCAGTTCTTCCACTTTTCTCTCTATGCTTCGACGCGTGATGTGGCCTCACTGTCATCCTTTATCATCGCTGGACATATAACTGAAACAAGAATGCCAGAACTGTTCAGTGTATTCTGCTTCTTAGTCGTCCCCTAAATGACGTTGATCTACGATGAAAACGGTTCTGAAATGTCAGAATGAGTACTTTACAGGACTATTTAAACCGCAAGCCGAAGTAGGGAATGATTTGCAAGATTTCCACCACTGATAACTGGTTTCATTTCGGCAAAGTGAAGCGATTTCATATGTAACACATGTCTCAGTCATGTGAGTCAACAGAGGTTCACAATCGTATCAATTGAACTAAATCCTTGTACCGAAGTCTGTAAGTTTGACCTCCGCATTACTGACGTGATGATACAACGACATACAGCTTGTGCTACATAGTCAGTAGCAGCAAACGAACATCTTAGGCTTTCTGATGTTCTTCAACTGCAATGGTTATTTTTCACAGCCATAAAGTAGAAAAAAGTGAACTGCAATTCAGTACGCTTGACCGTTAATAAGTAATGGGATGTCACAGTGGCCCCATAGACAGAGAAAGTTGTCAAAAGCCAAGCAAGATTTTTGTATTTGTGTGGAGATTTTGTCAGTCACTGGCTCACGAAGTCTGGTTCATCGTGCTCAATCACTTCACTCATTATCATTAGGTAAGACACTACTGAAGACCAGTCTTGGTGTACTTGTTCGATTTTGTGGGTGGTGAGAAACGCATCCTAAACATTGTCAAATTGTCAGTTAAGGTGTCCAGAAAACTCTATATCTTGTCAGCATCCTTACCTACATAATTATAATTCCAGTGAAACGAATGTTTTTAAAAAGCGCCAGAGTCTATATCCACTGTACTACACTTGAGTAGACTTGAGTAAACTGTTAATCGTGGCGGTGAAGTTTCTATTTAACTTAAGAGTCAAATGCTTAATATATGACCATTATTAAGTGATCACTAACACCTTAAGGTTTGCGATGAACCACTGAGCGTTTTTTACACGAATCTGAGAAGGATCATCAGCCAAACAGTCTTTTGTATGCTCAACATGTGTCATATCACTAGTAAACAGTGATATCAATTTAAGGTGACGGATTTCTCGTGGTGAATGTTTGTCTAGCTCAGAGTTTCGGGAGTAAATCCGAGGTTTGTAGTCCGTACGAACTATAAATTTCCTGCCTTCAAGAAGGTGTCTAAAAGCCTAATATATGCACTTATTTGAGTAAAGCAACTTGTGCAGATAGCAACTGGATTTCCTAATACACGTATCAACAACACACTTTAAAACATTTGTAAAGATATTTTTCATTTTCCAATTATTACAATATGTAGACATGTAGACCTCAAAATATATACCGTCAAACGTAAGAATTTCTGTCTTTTATGCCATTGGTTAGCTAATTTGTTGTTCAAACTGATTATTTCTTATTAGGCATCCATTGAAAGTGGGTACAAAATTGATTTTGACAATATTGACATTATTGTTCAAGGGTGTTCATTCAGATAAAGAAATATTGACCTCATCGAATGATCTGAGTATTTTAACGTCAACAAAAAATGCTTTAAATAGAAAGGAAGGAATAGATTGGTCACGCGTCTACCAGACTGTAACTTGACAAAAGCATTAAAAAGGTCAACCCCTCAAATTGGACTTTTAAAAAGTAAACAGATAATAGAGATGAATTATTGTTTATGAATAAACATATTTTTCATATTTTTATACAACAAACAATGAATGATACCTACATTTTCATTCTTGATTATCTGAGATAGCCGTAGTTTGGCAGACTAGTATTGGTTGGAGGTGAAATGAAAATTTGGAACGCCGTTGGATTCGAACCAACAACCATCGGGTAGGGTAGACAAGATTACTTAAAATAGCATGTTAAGACATCCCTAAACAATTCCTGACTGTAAACGTATAACTTAAGCACTGTGATACAATATAATCACATTTTAATTATGAGCGATGATTGAAAGTGAAATAGAAATTTGGGCCACTGCGGGATTAGAAACCGAGACCACCAGTGCTTCCCCAACTGAGTTGTTAGGCCAGACTCTTGACCAGATGTTTAGTTCACTTCAATCCCTTAAATTTAGGTAAGACAATTACATGAAATCACTCTCCAGTCAATTCATGCAACTCCCTTTACAATATATGTACATGCGGATTTATAATGTCGGTCATAAATTAGACATTAGACTCTTAAGTGAAATAATCACTTCACCAACACGACTAACAGTTTACCGTCAGGATGAATGTCTACTTAAATGGACGCTGACATTTCTTACAAACAATCTACATACTGCAATTATAGGTATGTAGTGGTTACTTGCGATAAGTGTCGTAGAAGTGGTTGGTAGGGGAGTAATCGGATTTCATCAGTACGGAAACAACTTGTCGTATCATCTTGTCAGGCTTCTAATTTAAAGAAGCCATTCATCTCTACCTCTCATGGAAGTAGTCACCTCTTCTGTAAAATATTCGCAATATATGAAAGGACGTGTTTTCTCCCCAGAGAGCAGTAAGTCGTTGTAACTGTCCGTGTACTCCTGCATATTTAAGTGATCCACGTAACCATTGGCATCTGTCTTCTTCTGTAGTACTCTTTATCATAGGATCACACAAAATATTCCTCAGTTCGTACATTTGACTGAAGTGCAATGCAACTAAGTCTCCTGACACATGTATATCACACTTCGGTGTCAACAGTGAATTCAGTATAGATTCTGAAACTGCCAACCATAACTAGAAACGTTATCAAGACTCCTTGCATTTCTGCTTGTTCAAAATAAATCAAGCCGACGAGCTGCATTTATGACATAACAGTAAGAATCTAATTTTTAGGTTTGTGGGGATTTACTGATTTCAGATTGGTAGTGATCATGAACTGACATCAGTTGGAAAGCCATTGGAAACCTTGGAGCACTGGAAAGCTGTTGCCCCGTAGTATGGAACTCCTCAGAGGTGTATAATCATGAGCCCACCAGGTATCGAACCCATCAACTTCATATTCCGCCATTCCTCATGTTCTACATGAGGACGGTTACTCACAAACCTAAAAATTGAGCTATTCTAGTCCTCATTGGTGACTAGCTTCAAGAGGCGATTTCCGTAGTCCCAGTGAGAGGCCGTGATCAGTAGGCGCAACCGAGTCAAATATGAGGACAGTTACACAACAATGTCATTGGGTAGAGGTCACGCTATATCATGAACTGACAGAAGCAGGAAATACGGACCACTAGATTACGACCCAAAGGATCAATGTAAACGATCTGACCGTGGAGCCTGAAGGTTCTGGGTTCGACTCCTGGTAGGTTTATGGGTACGCACTGGTAAGAAGTCTCCTACTAGGACGAAACCGGTGTCTGATACTCCCAGGCTCCAAATGTTTCGCCAAGTGGTATCAGTCCATAATGAATACCAACCTGAACTAAGAATTCCCACTTACCACCACATCTTTGAAGCATACGATATTAAATAAATGGTCTTGATAGAACCGAAAAAAAGAATCTGTTAGTACAAACTTCTCAGTGTGATGATATCCTTCTAACGATGAATCCTCTCTCAATAGTAAAAAAATTATTGGAGAGGATGCTAGGCAGTTGCAGCCTCGTGACAAAAATAAAGATATATTTTCGAACGTGTCCATGTATAAGCGATTGTTCAGTTAACCCCCAGTGAATAAAAACGAAAGAAATATAGTGTGGAGAAGAAACACATTCTTGAACAAAATCCATTGTACAGTAGTGTAGCATAGATAAACGTTTGACTGACAGACGCTTAACATGGTTGCAGCTAGCTGAATAGAATCTCATCACCATTCGCTTTAGAATATAATAGAGAGTAGTGTATTCTTACAAAGATGTGGATAATCCGATAAACTTCATATATAGGTATAAGTTATACCCAATACTCTTCAATATACACTCCCTAAAACAATGTCGTTAGTACAAAATGAAAATCTCTACTTGTTCTACCTAAAAACTTAATCTCTTCTTGATCAGATGGTGAATACTTGTCCAAAGACCATTTCAATCGACAAACAATCAAGATTTGGAAAGTCAGTCTAAACCCAGATATTTAATCTGTTCTCAGCTAATTATATTGCAAAAAATAACTCCTCTACTCCAAAATAAATGTTTCCTTTGCTACTTCCATTTGTTAACTTAGATGAAAATGAGAGAGTGGCGCAACGTACAATAACGGTCAACCTTAAACACTCATATCAGTAGAAAGAAAAGTGAGAAGAAAAATCAATATTGAGCAGCTTCGATTTTATTGATAGCGATTTAGAAATGAAAGGTAAGGCATTTCACTTTGGCAACATAACGCACATTATGGTGAAATTTATGAAAAGTAGAATATAGTTCAGGAATTCTCAGGATGTATATATGAAAGGAGTACTTTCAGTACTCAGCTGTTAGATTTAAAGCATTTGTCCAAAAAGTTACATATTTTGTTAAGCTACTTTTTAGTAGTTAAAATACGACTGCAAAAATATATTTATCCATATTGTGATTATTCATCCTTTCTTCACGATTCTGTGTCTAAATCTACCGCAGTAACTGTTGTATCGACTGAATCTGTCTCACTTGTAGATCGACTCAGGTTTATCGTCCTGACTGTTGGTTTGCTGGGGAAGTCGATGACAGTTTCGCGATTTTTTACAGTTTGTATACGTTCCATCCTATACGCTTCTGGTTCCAAACGACAGCCAGCTTCAAGTTGTCTTAATAAATCAGCATTTGATCCATTATCACACTGCAAAATAGTGGCTGCCCAAAGATCGTCATCCAGGTAGTCAACAATCTGTAATCCTCGAGAGATATACGCAAACGAAGTCTCTGAAGCACTTGAATTCATCTTCACTGAATCAGATTCACTTTGATTCTGTGATTAAACCAATGAAAAACAATAAAATGTTACCATTTTCGAAGGAAGAGGTATGCGCGAAAAATCACGAAGTTAATACAGTTCTAAAGACTAGTTGCAAAACTTAAGTACTGTTTTACTTTCCTGCATGAAAGTTCAACTAATAATAAGCCCACTATTTCATTTGAAAGGAATTATTCTATCCAGCTGCTCATAAGTCTTCTATATCAATTTAATATCATGATTTACATAAAAAATGACCATTTCTCAGCAGAATGATGTGTTCATGGTAGGAGTGGACCGGGAAGACCAGTTAAACTGCCAAGTTAAATCTAGATACTCAAAAACATTTCTATCTGTAGATGATTTCGCTTTATTATTTATACTACTTATCAGTAGCCAAATTTTTTCAACAAATATTTTAGGCTAATCTCATTGCAAAATTTTAAGAATCCAGATAGTGTTTCTGTCTTTTAAAGACTATTCGGCTGCGCATACCTCCCTCCCTCTCACTGAAAGAAAAACAGAAGCTGGAGAGAAGTGGAATAAGCTAAAAGCTTTATAAAGAAGTAAGCCAGTAAATTCTTTCTCATATAACTAGAGGTGAAGGTGAAGCTAATTTTAAAGAGGTGATGAAGTAGCACTTTCTAAAAAGAAAATTCTTTCCCATGGCTAAAGTATAAACAAACCAAAGTAACCAAATAGTGAAAAATATCGCCCACTTATCTCCACTTCTAATAAAAGTTCCTCGATATCAATATCCAGAGAGTGAGTAATTTCTATGTAATGTTACTTGATTTATGGCTTGATCTAGGTGTTATGCTTTTTGGCACTTGTCAATCAAGCGTATCTGAAATTTCAAGGGAACTGATGACGCCTGTGAGGTCCGGACTCATATCATCCGGTGTAACTGTCAATGACGTGACCATTGAGTCATTCGGAGCGCGACTGATGTCCTGTACGTTCGAGTTAGATACATTGACTATTAACTAGAGAGCAACCGACCTCATGTTGTCTAGTTCCGAGGGTCATGGGTTTCATTCCTTGCCTACTGCTGAGTGGTCTCATACTAGGACGAAGCAGCTGCTTTTCAGGGCTCTTAGGTTTCCAATATTTCTCTAACTGATATGAGTCCATAATGAATACCAACCTGAAATCAATAAATCCCTACCAATCTTCAAATAGAATTGGATATTTTAGATTGTAGAATGAAAATAAGACAAGATAGTGGTTTAGACACAAGTGTTCACCAAGAACCATCGCCTTCTATAAGATATCTAAACTTTAGATCAACTCAAGGTACATCAATATACCTTGGTTTAGTCAATTTTTTTAGCTTTGGAACTAGGATTGTCTCCAGTAGGTTAGAGCACTTAGATAAGGAAGTGAAGTACTTCAGGGAAAGTTTACTTTCGAATAATTATCCTTCTGAATTTATTCTGGAAAGTATAAGGAGGTATAGAAAGAGGTAGTGGTGTGAACAGTGGTTGCACCATGACTTGGAAGGAACTCAAGGGCTCTGTAGTGCTGCCATATAAGGAAGGGATATCAAATAGTCTACGTGGGTTTCTGAATAAAGCTGGAATTAAAATGGTATCCAACCTAAAAACTCACAGTCAAATTTTGCCGGCTGAAGGATTCCACTGACCTAATTAGACAGAATAGTTTAATTAACCAAATAACGAGCAATAACTTTGAGGTCAAGTACGTAGGTCAAACTGAAACGTAACCCGGTAAACAATACAGTTCCCCAATGTGGCATATCTAACAAATCGTTTAAAATGGAATTACATTCTGCCACAATCCTCACTCAGATTATCAGAACATCGAAACCGAGTCAAGTCTAGATTGATAGACCCTAATGAGATGAATAGTCCAAAGAAGAATTCAGCCATAGCTATGCATATGGTAACTTATAACCAAATAGTATAGTGGGGAAGAGTTACATTCCTGAAAGCTGATGTAGTTAAATGGAGAGGAAGGTTAATCGCTGAATTTCTGTTCATCACTTCAGCGCCTAACACATGTAGTCGAGATAACGCAACACCAATTCCAGATATGAGGAGAAGTTTACTATCAATTAAATTAAAAGGATGAAAAAGTAATGGAACTGTATTAGTTGCATTGTGTTCTCTGAGGTGGGCTATTTAATCGTGAAGCTTTCATCATCTTTTTAGACAACACCATCTGCACTAACTTCAGTATGAAGTAGTGAGCTATCAGTATCTCTCCGTAAGTGATTTAGTAGCTTGCCCTGACGAACTGGTTTATGATTGGTTGTTTCCTTTGGTTGTTGTGCAATTGACTGTATAGATTTTCTTCTTGGCTAGGACATTAAGTAATTTTCTTCGTTTCTCCATGAAGTCGTTGTACTTCAGTGTGTTCTCGCTCTTTTGAATAAAGTCTGTGTGCAACTGATTTTGTACGTTGTTGGGTTGTTGCTATTGTAGTTGGGGATTCGGTCAGTGTATGTTGGCTTTCTGTACTCTTGGGTTTCCAGTTTTCTGGCATTCGTCCTACTGAACAAAACATCCAGGAATGGCAGTTTGTTGATGTCTTTACACCTCACTTCTGTTTAATCATAATATCATTTTGAGTTCCTGATCACATAATAAGGTTTCAGTACATCACGTTCAGTAACTAAAGTCCAGCTCTCGAAGTGATCATTTGCAGACAAAAAGAGGTTAAGATAATCCTCTATACGCTGTGATTCATAAGTTACCGACGGTTAACCATATCAGGCCTTAGGTGACAGTTTAAAGTTAGGCATGAATAGCAGTCTGTGGAGCCTTGACAGGGAAAGATGATTAGCTGATACACACACAAACACACCATTAGGCCATTGCTTCAGGCTTATGCTTTCTTGTTTCCTTCACTTATCAAGAACAACACACACCTCAAGACGATAACCTTGAGCAAAGATCAACTGAATTTCATCTCCAGTCACCACTGTGAACCACTTAGACAGGTTTTATGGTAACACAGTTTTTCTATTTGACAACTCTTTTTTATTCGCCTTAATACATCGAAATGAGTAGACCTCGTTTAAATACAGGTATGCTACAATGTACCCTCAATATTTCTGCAAGTTTCCAGTCTCATTGACCGCTTCAGACGTATCAATCACTTACATTTTGATAGCTTCTTATTTAACAAGGAGAAATTAAGCGCCCCAGACGTCTTATTTGTTGATTCTTCGACCTCAGTACTAATTGATGCAGATTTGAACTTTTGAGAGAGCACAAGTTTCCACAAGTTAATGTGTATTCACCCTACTGATGATTACGAATAGGAACAAAACGTAGGTAAAATGATTATAGCTTAGTCTACCATGGCAGTATTCGATAATGTCAATGACTTTGAAGATACAATTTTGCACCCAAAATCTTCAGGCTTCTCATTCACCTACACTTTTAAGAAGAGAAGCGGTTAACTTATTCAAAGATCTATTCATTAAATCAAACAAGTAAGTTAGTGAAAATGGTCCGTCATACATGCATGCAGTTCCATGATACAAACTTCAAACACTTCCCAGTTGAAAATGTTAACCATGAGATTACACAACGGGGGTTTATTTCAAAGACCTATTGCTTCAAGCATTGATGAACAATGTCTGCGTTAGTCTTGATAAAAAATTTTTCATACTGTGCTTTACACATAAACACAAATATTTATGAATAGATCTTTATTCATCTCCTTTTCTTTTGAACCCTTTAAAGTCTTTCGGCTAACAATCATATGAGTTTCGGGTTCATATTTTTTGAATTACATTTCTTAGGAAGTTAATGCATTAAAACAAATACTTGTTTTAATGTTCAATGCGATGTTTGAATGAGGTCATTCACATTAAGCTATGTACAAAGCTGCATCAAACTTTTGTCTATCCTTCCTATTGGCAGCGGAATCAATGAGTTTAACAGAAACTAGTGACCAAGTAGGTCATTCATATAAGCTGAACACAAAGTTGACGCATTCCGTTAATAGCGTTATTAAACTGTAAAGAAATTAACAGTTCAGAAATAATAATACCATGAATTCATAGTTGGAAGAAAAAGGATGAATGTAAATGTCAAAAAATATCAGCAAATCTTGTAATTTTAGTTGGTAGTGTATAACTTAATTTATCCGGGTCACAATAACATGTTGTCATAGTGAAATGCGTTGGTATTATTGAAAAATGCTTTCATATCCACACATATACACAATTTATCCTTATTCTGACCTTCTATTATGCTGAAAATAGTTCAGAAAATGAGGTTAATTACAGTTTTGTTTCAAGAGAAACTAGAGTTTTAATGCCTGAATGCACTTGAAGATATGATAACGTCTTACTCTGGATATGTCAATGACTAGTATCATGTATCCTACTGACTTTCTAGAAGCGTCTACCTGATCTATGATAAACGATCCCTTATCAAAGTACTGCTTTAAAATGATACAATCAAGTAAAAAAAATTGGAAAGAGAATGGCTGAGTATTATACAAATCCTGGTAGATAACGGTTACACACTAAAACCTCTTGATAAGGGTAGAACAACAGACTGACAGACAATATCAACTTAGAACCTAGCACAAAGGTGTACTGGTTCCAGTTGCCACACTTTACAGTGGTACACAAAGAATAGGTGGATAAAAATAGGGTAATGTCAAGGGACACTGTGGTAGATTGGAATTCCATTTTAGTCTGTTCATTAGAAGTGTCACACAGTGAAGGAACAGTATCATTTACTCGATAACGTTTCGGACAGAATTTATTGTCCATATTCATAGCAAGTAACTGATTCCGCAACTTTGAGACATTGTTCACATAGTTCTACTTTTCCAGATATCTGATCTTCCTGATTGTGGTCGACTGGTTCATGCAACAGGTAGCTGTGAGGAGCGAGAAGATGGGCATACGCTGGCTGAACCGATGAAAAGACCCTAGAAGAAGATTTTGGTTTCGCCGATGACGATTTACGTCTAATGTCGCACAAGCTCGATGATCTACAGGCGAAAACTAACAAGATGGGAGAAGA